GGGAAGATACTTGGCCAGAAGCAAAGAGATCCATGGTTCAAAAAAAAGTGTCCAAGGAGTATGTTCACTGAATTATGTCCTGCACAGCTTCAGTGACCACAGTACTCTATATTTCCTACGTCTCTAGAAGAATGTCACAGGCCAGCTGTGATTAGGACAAATCACCACAGACAAGATAACTGCAAGAAAATAACTATCTTGTTGCAATATAAGGAAAAATTTTCTCTAGCCCTAGTCACCCTTTTTAAAATTGAGGAGAGCACACCTTGGACGCCTGCTCTGTTGATTTTGAAGTTGTATAAGAAAAAGGAAGGGGCCAAAGCCTCCTGAGGGGGAAGTGTGCCATGCCAGGTTGCTCCACCCTTAGGAGGTTTAACAGCTCACTGGAATCTGCCGTGCCTCAGCCAAGCATTTAAACACACACTCGAGCCCACACCTACTTAGCAGTGCACTTAAGTACGTGCATTACTGAATAATGATGGATGGCTAAATGGAGTCAATAATGTTCTGAATTTATCACACTGTGGGGGCTGCCCCGCAGCCTGGAACCAAGTGACGGAATTAAAAATAGGGGAGAAGTACAAATGGGCTCAGTTAATAAGCTTAACAGCTTCATCCAAGGTGTAGGTCTAATAACTCACATGCTAGAAATAGCAGATAAGATTACACACAAGCCTTTGGCCTCAGCGACATTTTTCCATAGGTCTTACTGCCGACACGTCATCACTAATCTTGTTTTCCATTTCTAGAGAGTATTTTGTAAATAATCATGTTGATTCTACAGCCAGCACAGTGACACAGCATCCAGCCGTTATTTTTAGTTAAGTGCTGAGCTGAATATTCTCTCAAAACAGAAAATAAAACCCACAGCCAGTCTTAGGAAGCTTCCTCATGAGCCAACAGTGTGCTTACCCATTTAGTATTGTTTTTTATTGATGATGAATTTTACATTTAGTGATGAGTAAATGGGCCATCACTAAAACATCCCCTTTAAGAAAACAAATATATATGATAAGAGCTAGCAGAAACTAAAGTTCTGGATTCTTCTATTCACTGCTGTACATGTATCTTCATGGACTGTGCAGTGCCATCCCACAAAACACAGCAATAAGCAATGTGAGAGAGGTTTTGCTACAGTTTGTTCGGATTAATGTACAGGACTTTCTAATCTACACTAGTAGCAAATCTGTTTCTCTAGGTTGGCCCAATGAAAATAAAAATCTGTATTGGATAGGTTAATTATTTTTACTTAGCCAAATAATTGATGAAGCCTAGCTCTACACTGATACAATGAAAAGTCTGAAGTAATGCTGTCATATCAAAAAAACAGAATAAAACAAGAAAAAAAAAAAAAAGCAAGAAACAACAAGCCTGATGTAAACAACCACTGCAGTTTTACTTCTTAGTGTTGCAGAGCACAGCGCTATGGATGTACCATACCCTGAGAAGATAAAGGGCAATTTCTTGTAGTTATCTACTGTGGGGTCTATTAAGACACCATATGTCACATTCTGGGTACAAACAAAAAAAAAACAAATCTTGTTTTTTCATTTAACTTTGTCTAAATACTGTTCCTGTCAGATAAACATCTATTGGCCAAGGAAATATTAGTATAGTAGTCATTAAGTATTAAGTTAGTTTGTAGTCATGGCAAAGGAGAAAATGAATGGATGCAGGAGCTCTACTATAATGTCCACCTTTAGACACTAGGAATGTAGAATGGCATATTTCAATACAGTTGTAACAGAGATTATTAAATGAATAAGATTATGAAGTTTAATATACCATTTTAAAGTATTTGCCAAAGCTTCAGTTATATATTATACCAATAGCACACCAATAATAAAAGATTAGGTGGGATAACATCATTTAGAAAGGAAAAAAATGCAAAAAACAGAAGACAACTCTCTTCACACATTTACCTAACGAGGTATTGTAAAATGTAAAGGTTGTTCCAGAGGCCATCAGTTACAAAATTCATACAACTCACACTCTTTAGAAATGCACTTTTTTAATTAATAAAAAGGACAACCAAAGACACCAATAGAATCTCATTTAGAGAAAAACTATTCTAATAACTTTTTCCAGCATTTTCATATGTTACTACTTGCAAAGAGAAATTCCCTCGTAGAGTGAAGCTGTACTAATCTCCCTGTGCTGCTAACTGTAGAGAAACTCATGACCTGCTTTTCAAGTGTGCTTGTTAAGACTGGACAGAAATCAGGTCACTGGCTACAGAGATGAGGTTTGAACAGTGGCTCTAAAGAGCCTAAATAGCCCAAACTGGCAGAGAAGCCAGCAGAACACACATGTCCATATACAGAGTCATAGTTTTTTTGCAAAAGGTATTGCATGCTTTGCAATTAAATGTTACTTACCAAAGACTTAGACCTATCAGGTGGTCCACAGTTCAGAGGTGGGCTCGCTGGAGTGCTAGCCTGGCTGTCAGTAGTAGTTGTATCCTTGGGTTCCTGATGTTCTGGGACAGGCTCATACAAGCTGTCCATTGAGCCCTCCTAAAATACATTTAAACAGATTTTCAAAGATGAACACTTGTAAACATATTAAATTATTAATAATTTTAAAAAGCAAGACATTTCTGTGATTTACAAAATGGAGTGTGTTTTTCCTCCCCCCTCTTTTTAAATCCTTTATTTAGTTCTTTCTCTAAAAAGGCATATAGAAGTCAATTATAGTAAGTACCCAAATGCCAGAGTTCACAGTATCATGACTTAGATTCCACAAATTGCCAGATGTAAAACTGAGGGTACAGCAAAAATGATTATCTCCTCAGAAGGAGTAAAATCAGGTGTATATGTCTACTTGAGCACTACATGAAAATTCCTGTGAAAACTATGAAAACTAGAAACCATGAAAATTTCTCTATGAACTATTTTATAGTTAGTACTTCTTTACGTGAAAAAAAAAAAGGTTAATCCGATGCAGAAAGGTAACTCCATTCCTTAGAAATAAAGAGAAACAGTGCTGCCAGCTCCCAGAATTTGATAATCATGATTTAGGCCCTCAAAATAATGATAATGAGTAAAATGAAAAATAAATTCCATTTGCATTCAAATTTTTGAACTCCATGTTTTAATGTGCATGTAAGGTTCTTTTTCTCCAACCACCATGAATATAAACACTGTAATAGAAACTAAGATTTTCACATATATCCCACAACTCCAAGAACCAGGATTACATATACACACTGCCATTTCATAATTCAAGAGTTAAACGAAGGCAGATGGCAACACTAAAGACACTCTAACTGATGATCCCACATTTTAGATGTTGCCATTTTGATCTGCACTGAATGTTTCCCAATGAATTTTGATTACTAATTTTAATTGCATTAATTAAGGAATAAATCAAATTTATAGCAGTATGACTTAGAGCAGAGCAATGCTACTGAAATTAACATTTCATTATTATTATTTAAAGGCATCTGTTACTTTAGCACAGAAGATAAACACAGATGTATATTTGAAGTTATATTGTTAATATGTAAAATTTTACAGGAAATATTTTTGGCTGGAGAGGCAGCAGTTCAAAGACATGACTAATTTTTGCAAGCATAGTGTTTATCTATGCATCTTTATTTGCTTCAGTCTACCAGAGTTTTGATAAGCCCAAATTGATGTTTTGGGGGAAATATTATATATTGTTCTTGAAAACACTCAAGTTATGTATTTGAGCCTATTGTAGGAACTAATATGTTAATGCTTCCTGGGACATTGTTGCCTGGTTTATGAAACACACTGCACATGGATGTGTGAACATCCAGCTGAGCCTTGGTTTTGACAGCAACTGTGTTTTTTTATTACTGCATTTATTTTTTATTTCTCAGTATTTTGCCATATAGCACTGATGGTTCAGCTCCTTGTCTGAAGTTGTGGATTGAGCATTTCTAGAAAAAAAATTATGAGTTTAAAACATTATTACAAACTTCCAGGATTCTCCAACGTAAACTGTGACCACATACTTCTCCCTTCACAGGGAATAACACATGACTTTTGCGAAGAGAGCATTTAATTAAGAGACAGAAGCATAAAGGAGAGCTCATGTGAAAGGGACCACGAGAGAGATAAAAAGGGAAAGAAAAGAGAGGGCAAGGAAGAGTGAAAGGAGGGGGGGGGAGAGAAGAAAGGTAAGAAAGTAAAAGAAGACAGAAAGAGAAAAGAGAGAAGGGAGGCAAAGAGTGAGGATAAGAGAGGCAGGAGATGGGGAAAGATAAGAGGAGAAACAATGAGAGAGAAAGGGAGAAAGAGCATACTGGGGATCATGTGAGAATTAGTCCTCGAGAAACGGAGAGTGTGAGAAAGAGCTGAAGCAAGAAAGAGAAATCTTGTGTGAGAAACATGGAGCTCAAGGCTGCAAGAAAAGGTGGGCACATAAGAAAAAGCAAGTATGCACAAAAAAAGCAAGTCCATGTGAAAGAGGGAGGGCACAGGGAGTGGGATGTGCACAAAGAATTATGGGAGAATGAGAATGAGTGCAAGAAGTGGAGGACATGGGAAAGCACGAGTGCATGTGAGAAAGAACACAAGAAAAAGTGACCATGTGCGAGAAAGAACAGGCACGATAAGAGGTGTGTGTGTGTGAGGGCACAGGAAAGAGAGTTAATGTGAGAAAGTGCAAGTGTGCAAGAAAGAGTTTGAGTGTGTGAGCTGGAAAGGAAGAGGTAGTGTCTGAAAAATAGCAAGACTGAAGAAAAATGAAGGGGAAGAGGTGGAAATACAGGGAGACAGAACAGAGCAGGGAGTTAAAGCTCAAAAAGAGATTGGGAGAGGCACCACACCAGAAAGCAAGAGAGAACATGGCAGAAAAAGGGAAAGCATCCATGAAAAAATGGGTGTGGGAGAATGAGAAGGAACAAGGATGAGGTTGAGAGAAAGGGTGTGAGGTCATAAGAAAAGGGTGGTGTCAGGAGAATGGGGGTTGTTGGAGTAAGGACATGAGAAAGAAAACAGGTTGAAAGAAAGAACAAGGACAAGAAAGAGAGAAAGAGCAAGTGCTTGGGGAGGGGAATGCAGAGGGAAGAGGTCCCCCAAGAAAGGAAGCTCTCAAGAATGAGAGACAGAAAGTTTTCATGACAAAGAATGCACATAAGAAAGGATGGGTGTGAGGGCATAAGAAAAAGAGCATCCAAGAAATAAGGGAAAGCAAGCAGGAAAGAAAGAGCAAGGTTGCTAGAACAGGGAAGGGCATAACAAGTAACAAGAACACATGAAAATGAGCTAAAGAGTAAGCAGATTAAAGAGTGATAGAAAAGGAGAGACAGAGGAGGAGACAAAAGAGGAGAAGATAATATGAGGAGACAGAGGGAAAGAAACAAATTGATGAATTGTGAAAGAGAAAGAGTGAGAAAAGAGGAAGGGAAAGAGGGTGTAAGAGAAGGAAAGAGGGTAAAGAGCAAAGTGGACAGTGAGGGAGCATGAATGAGAGAGATTGCAAGGGAAGCAGAGTGCACTGATAAACCAGAATGTTTAGGAAAGAGAGGTGATGTGAGAAAGTGAGCACAAGAACACAAGTCAGCAAGAACAATGTTGCAAGAAAGGGTGCCAGACCAAGAGAAAAAGGGTAATGTTGCAGAAATGGGGGCATAGCCATGACAAAGGGTACAAGGGCACAAAAAGGGTGCAGTGGTATGAGAGAGGGAGTGAGAGTGAGCACAAGTGGGCAAGGAAAAGCATGATCATGTGTGATAAAGAGCGAGTGCACATGAGGAAGTGCATGTGTGCATCTGAGAGAGGGAGTTAGAGATGTGAGAAAGGGAAAGAAGAAGAGGTAAAAAGAAAGGAGGATAGAGTAGAGAAGAAGTAGAGGGAAGAGGGAGTAGAATGGAGAAAGAGAGAACTCACGAGAGAGGGAGTCTGTGTGTAAGGAACAGGGAGGGTGTGGAATGGAGAAAGATCATATGCATGGGAGTGGGAGTGCAAGAGCAGGTGAAAGAGTGAGGTTGAAAATAAGGTTCAAGGAAAAGCATGGATGTGAGAGAGATCTGGAAGAAAATAATTGTCTGTAGCTCTTTCTTTTGCATGATGTTATTATCATCTTGGCATGCAGAGACTAGATTGATCGTAAGGAGGAGAGGAGCATTTAGTAATGCAGCCAGGCCATTCTGCAGATCAGGTTTAAATGTGGACTCCTGTGCATGGTGAAATCCAGCTAAAATGAACAAGGAGTATATGGAGATGATTATATGGGAAGCACTACAAAGCTCAACCACTCAGATCTCTTCTGTTCACGTTACAATTTAGAGGATGGTCTTTCCACATTCAGGTAATTCTTCTTTGTTAAAACTCATATTTTTAAGTCCCATCCATTTCTAAGTAACATCATGTCCCAGAAGCCATAGCAGTATTGGCATCTTTCTATTTACTCTATGGTTTCTTTAACATATAGAGGCTCCACTAGTTCATAATTTATCCACTACATCACTTTTATTAATACTTATTCTCTCTGCATCTTGCACCATAGAAACATTAGCTTTTAGTGCCAAAGCCTCTTTCAGTTTATAGCATTAGATGTAACACATTTTACATTGTGCTGTCACCACATCCTTACACCAACAATGAAAATAAAATGTATAACTAGTTCAATGCTACTGAAAATCACTAAGACGATTAGACTTTCCCTCAGTACTTTATATTTTACTAGCAAAAGTGGTGGTTAGAAAGCTACCATATGGGAGAAAAATAGACAAATGAAAGTGATCTTATTTGGCTTAAACCCTAAGACAAGTGCTCAAGTGGAATAACTGATCTGAACAAGACTGTGATTAGGAGTGTCACAGCCTTTTTCTACTGACCTTCTTACATGGATTTCTGCTATACAAGAGGTTGACACTTACTTAGTATCTGAAATACTTCCCTGTCTTCATTAGTTCCATTACTAATGCCACTGTTTACTGTCAAAGTAGGTAGGACCTAGTCTTTCAGTATTGCCTTGTGCAAGGAAGATTTTCATGCCCCTCACATCCACTTTCTTACAGAAACTTGGCTGAAATAATGGGGTTTGGGATTTTTTTGAAACAGAGATACATTTTCCTGTATCTCTCTTAGTAAATGAAATTATGGACAAGAATGAACCAGGTGTGATCATCTGCACTGGTACCCCCTGCCAGAACAGTCCCTGGCCCACGCTTGTCTTATGTCAGCTAACAGACACCCAAACGATTCCTTGGCACATTTGTTAAAACACCATCAGAACTATACTTGACAGGCAGGTTGCCTACAGCCACCTTGTTTTTGAGGGTTTGCTACAACAGGCACAGGTACTTGTCCTGGGGCACATTCCAAATGTGTGTGCTTTATTAATTGGAGCCTGTATAAAGAAATATCTGCAAAGCCTGTTATTTGGGCTACGTGTAGAACCGTGGTCAAAGATGGCCCCATCTAAGGAGGCACTTCTGCTGCTTCCAGGAGTAAATGCTACCAAAACAGTAAAACCCATCAAGAAATAGTAGGATAGGTTTAACTGACAATGTTCCAGGTGAATTGGTGCTAACCCCAGTGTGCATATCCTTGATACTGGAGACACGATAGAGGAAAATAGCACAAGAAAAATATTCTACCTTAACTAAAGGACTTCATAATTCAATAATAACTTTTATTTCTCAGATTTGTAGGATTCTGAAATTTTTTAGGCAGGGTATCAAAACAGATGGTTTGGTGAAATAATTCCTTGCAATTCATACAGAAGCAGTACTTGATTTGGACCCCTCTCTGTATATTGCCCATAATACAAACAGTATTGTTCTGATTCAATTGTCTGACATGCTAAGTACCATGAGATGGAAAAGACACTGCAAATTCAGGGTCTAAGGTTGACCTTTTAACATAATATATCTACAAAAGAAGAGACATTCATCCATTTGATTATTTTGTAAATGGAAGAGGGACACAAGGTTTTGAAGGCAAATCTAATTTGCCTGCAAATCCCTTGAGACCAAGGCAATGAGTCTGATGCAAAAAATAATCTCAGTGGAGAAACCAAATCATTTTGAAGTCAACTCAGGACACAAAGAACTGCTGGGGAAACATGCTATGCTGGAACACTCCTACTAGGAGATCAAAGAACTCCCAGGTGATGACAGAGGGGAGTAATTTCTGGTTGCTTCCTTGGGAAGGGCAGAGTCCAGTTCAGCCTCCAAAGCCCCTACAACCATCTTGTGACTATTGTGTGTCTTCAGCCTCCATGTCACCATTTGCTACACTGGCCATAACACTATGTCTCTCCTGCTAAAACTGCCTCAGTTCTATGGACAGGTAGGAAAGCAAACCCACAGAAAATCAAAGTCAACAGCATAAACTGATGTTCTTTTAGTTACGCTGGTGTTCCTCCTCTTTGGATGAACCAGAAGCCTGGGTATACTCTGTTTTTAAACAGAATATTCTTGTAATTACCCTCAGGTTGTAGATTACTTCAACCACTATACTCTGTAGGGTAGAGAACTATTTTCTGAGCTATAAAACAATGTCTTTTAACAACATATGCATGTGTACACACATATATACATGCAAGAACACACACTTCGCAGTCTGAAATCTTGTCAGTCAGTCTGCATGAGGTAAACACTTGCATGAGAATACTAATTTTTTGGACAGCTCTTTTTGTTCTGTCAATAATCTAAATTTCTCTTCCATGGTTTCAGGTTTAGCAGTTGCTCCAGATGTTCACTTGATGTAAATCAGCTGTGATTTCTATTCATCAGTGGCTGTTAGTATCTACTAAAGAACCTGACTCCTCTAACATCTTTAAAAGTTGTCTTTAAATCCTAATTATGTTGTTGCTGTGCATTATTTCTTACTTGATTCACTTCAATAGAAAAATACCCTTATATTGCTACTTCAACCACTTTTCAGCCTGTCTTTTCAAGTCACAAGTTGACAGAGTAAAAGTGGCTAGTGTACATCCTTGGATCACTAGCTCATTTCCAAGCTAGACAATCTGATTACAGAAAGCAACTGCACTGCATCACATGCATAGGGAGGACTGCACAGGGCTCTTCACTTTATGAAACACATAAATGACCTATAAACTATCTTTAGATGTTGATAACTTGGGATGTGTTTTTCTGGGTGTGCAAAAGGTTACCAAAGCGGACAGAATGGTTCCCATGTAAAGCTTGTAAGGAACAGAGGTTATCTTCTTAGCAGCAGTCTTTAAACAGAACTAATTATTTCATTACAGAAACTATCATGGCACCAGCTTTCACTTGTCTGAACCATCCATTATTACTGCAGTCATTACCTCTCCCACAGAAACCTGGGTTGCCTTTCTCTCACCCACACAACCCACCTGACATTTTGCCTAAACATTGATTTCTCAACTGATACAAGGGTCAACACCTCTTTTAAAAGTGAATTACATAGAAAACAAGAAGCTGCTCCAATGGAACAGTAAAATACTAGTAGAACAGTTCTTTCCCAAAGAACTTCAAAAATGAGTATTTTCAAGCTGTTACAGATTGTACCGCGAAGCCATTGTTAACTTTGAACAAATACACAGGCATCCACATTAAACTATGATCAAAATTTTCATTGAATTCCCAGGGTATTATTTTTCTGAGTCACTCTTGCCACAGAATCCCGAAATACCACTGCATTTTACTTTAAGTACAAAACAGCTTTTAATCCTTACGATCTAGAAAACACCAGCACTCTGCAGTAAGGTAGCATTAGCAATCAGGAGCAATGGTTTACACAAAGCAGCTTCCCTATTTGAGTTTGTGTTAGTGCAGCTTGAATATTGATTTTTATTGTTCTTTCTAAACATATGGGGAAGATATACTAAAGGTCTGGACAAAAGATGAAAAATGGGCAATCAGATCTACTGTGCTGTGTAAATACAGCAAATACACCCAGCTAATTACCATTACTAATACTGGGCATTGGTATTGGCAGATGGTTAAGCTTTTAAACCAGAAACAGTTTCTGTGGATTTCCTATCCTGATTTACCTGCTCATTCTGAGCAGTTGCCTTGGGGCAAGGAAAGAGAAAAAAAAAAAGAAGGAGAGAAAGTGAAAAAAAACCAAACAACCCCAATTAAAGAGGAGCTTAAGTCCTCTGTCTTTGAGCAAATATTACCATATGACTAAATTAGCCCTTATGAGTATCTATTCATGGTTGGGTAATAGAAAGCTATTATTTGAAAAGTTCTGGTAGTTCTCCCAAATTACTGAAGAAGGGAAACAGATACTATCATCTAAAAAAAAAAAAAAAAAAATCCTAGCCTAAAGCAAATTATAACATACACATATTATTAGTAATCTTAACTTATATATGAGGCGTTTCACTGTGCTTGGATCAAATGCCTCATGTCTAAATCTGCATTGTTTTGCAATAGTCACAGATAGTGCATGGTACATTTGCTATACGTTCTTTGCACCATATTTTTACTGAATCATATTTTGCTATGTATAATTTCTCATACAAAAACTCCTTCATCTAGGCTAGAGAGACCTGTCGTTGTCATACAACCCTTGCACAGTTCGTGATATAAAACCTTCATTATTGTTCCATCGAAACACACCCACCAGTTCAGTTTATGAACTCAGTAATCCACTAAATAAAAACACGTGTGTGTGCACTTACCAGAGAAAAACAGAAAAGATTCATGTTGGTATTGAGATCCACTCCAGCACCCTAAAACTCCGCTCGACAAACTCCCGCCGCACAATGCAGCTCCTTCTTGCTCTCCCAGCTGTTTGTACGTTTCCCCCGGAGATTACGGCAAGATAAAATCCCTGCAATAATCCACTGGATTCAGAACCCATTATCAAATGAGACAGGCTTCCCCAGGCCAGTACAAACTGCTTTCTGAATTAAAGAACAGTGTTTACTAACAAAATATAAGCATGGTCTGAATGATTTCCATGAACTTAGAAAATGCTCTCTTTGCAGGCTATTGTTTCCATTAAAGTTTGTCATCCAACAGAAATAAAGCTCTTTCTGTCTGAGACCACTGGAACACACAGCTTACTCCAAGGCAAATCTTCTCAGCTTATTCAGATTATCAAGAGACACACAGAAATTCTCATGAAATTCTGGTTTCCTATACATATGAATTAATTTACAAAATTCAGTAATTATTATTGACTACATTTTAAAAGGAAATATCTTACTTATGGACCATGGGACGAAAAAAAAAAACAAAACCTGTGAGCCACAACCAAATCATTAAAAAAACCCACAACTAACCAAGCAACCATACAAAACCCTCACACTCTGGGCCTGTGCACTAAAGAATAGTTACCAAACCGGTGCCTGGCATGTTGACTGTTTGATGAGGAAGATTAGGACTAAACCAATTTTGTTGTTTGAAAACATGGCCAATCTGGAAAATAAAAGATTGGGAGTGGTCAAAGCTGATCCATGGGCTAGTGTTATTATAATGTATACAGACAGGCAAACAAGGAATAAGCAATTGTAAAGAAAAACAGTAGCCTATGTCACTAGCTGGTCTAAATGAGGAAAATTTCATCACCTGTTGTGGAGTGAAATTGTCTGACAAAGAATTAATGCTGAAAGCAGTGTGAGCCTCAACTTTTTTCAGATTATAAAATACTTGAAATAAGACTGGTTTTGGAATAATACTGCTTACCAAACCACAATTAATTTCCTACAGCTTTCATGCAAATATTATGAAATTTGCTTACATGAACAAGCAGTAGTTGGTACCAAAAGATAAGCTGAAGTTCACCACAAATGGAAAGGTAGTGTTATTTTGTGACCAGAATCTTGATTTCCTTCTTTGAGCCCAGAGCTTCATATTTGTAAATGACAGGCAACTCATTCATCACTCATACTTCTGACTATTTCAGTTCATTATATTAATTTTCCAGTTGAATCTGCATCCCAGTGAAATTGAAATGTCTGTACTTTGTCAGAATAAATACATTTTAACATAAGTTAGTTTCCTCTCTGAGCAAAACCCAAACAAGGCTCATACAAACCAACAAACACCAGAGGACAGATAAGATTCGAGATTTCAAAAGAAAAAGATCTTTGGTTTGCACTTTTCCAATTTGCTGTAAATTATATAAAAGACTTTTTGAAGGCTTTCCCCAGGCTTCCTTTTCAGTTCTAATTTCAGGTTGATTTCATGTATTAGAAAAGTAGAGTTGGTTATGAAGAGCTTCATGACAAATGTTATAGTTTAGAAGCAAATTAATGAGAGATTTCTCATTTACTCCTCATATAAACTTGAGAAACAGTAACAGATTTTGTCAATTACCACCTAGTGACACTTCCCTAATGTGATTACACAAAAATAGACATTTGAGAGGCCTAGCTTGCCACAGATGGGCTTGCATTTGCTTTATGGCTCACTTGCTGGTTTCCTTGTGAAGGAGCAAGTTCTTATCCTTCCCAAGCCTCAGGTTCTCCAGCTGGAAATCTTAACTAAGAGCACAAACCTCATGTGCAAAGTACTGTGAAAGTAATGATCAAAAGCACCCTTTCCCAGCTACAGAGAATTACTTTTTCTTTTCCTTTAATGCCTATTTACAGTAATATCTATCTGGAAAACTGAAGAGCTAGTAAAATGACAATAAGTAACTCAGGAGAATGTGTCTTTCATTCAGATCAATTTAATATCTTGATTTTAGATTGCAGCTTTTGAGGTGATTTGGCTAAGTATATTTAAAGCCTTTAGGGGGAAGTTTCTGAATTTTATGCCACAGATCCTCAAGGCAAGAGTGACCAAGAAAGCTTCGACCTTACACTGAGCTATTAAATTTTCATTTTGCTTATATTTGTAGATACGCAGAAAAGAGAATAATTCAAGAAGAAAATCAAAATAAAAAAAGAAGTCTATATTCACAGTTAGAGATACACGCATATGGCAAGCAACTATGGTAGGAAAGCAAAAGTGCAGAGCTGTACAAGAGAGATAAATGCTCATCTGGAAACTTTCTAAGGCATTGGGCCAACTCTAGTTTCAGTTGTTCCTGCTTCACCATTTGGACAGGTGCAATTCATCACATCAGGCTCGAAATCTCACAAGGTAGGCATGATGCCACTGGAGTGAAATGTGAAAACCAGAGGCAAGTTTTTCACAAATACAGAGCTGGAGAGTAAAGCTGGGAATTATCCTGGGTTGGACTCTGTGGATGTGTCTCCTGAGTGCACAGCCCGGATTGCTTATTTGACTTCCTTTATTCTCCAAAAAGCAGACCTCCAGCGTTCAGTTGCTCTCATTCTACATCCTGGTGCATTCATCCTTCTGTTTCCAGCTGTATTAGCTCTCTGTCTGTGTCTGTACTGAAGGCATTATGGTGACAGTACTTGGTGAAAGTTATTCCAGTCAGGTTTAAAATGTTCAGTTCAAATATCCTGCTTGAGAAACAGAAGTTTAACCCGCTCTGATTTCCATTCTGCTGGGCCAATGGCTTTACAAAGAAACATCTTTCAGTGAAGACTTCAAGGGGGATCCCAAAGCACTGTTGCAGATATTCTGGATGCAAGCCACTAAAACCCTGAGACTAAAGATTGCAAATTTATTACATGTTTTTGAGTACTGTCAGTGTTAGTACTCTTCTTTTGAAATGGTAACATTTTAGACATCTACTATTCACTAATACAGCCTTCTGCAAGGGTTAGTTTTGTTGATAGGTGTAAACTATAGGTGATATTATCCAGGAGGTTCCAGTCCTTGACTAACATATAAATTACAAACTGTGAGGGAACACTTACTATAATAATTAAAATAAGAAACAACAGCTTATGATTGGTTTATCAGGATGACTAATATAAATATACCCAGTAGGAATTTATA